TACATACATACATACATACATACATACATACATACAGTATATCACAGAAGTGAGTACACCCCCTTACATTTCAGAAATATTTTAGTACAGTATATCTTTTCATGTGACAACACTGGAGAAATGACACTTGGCTACAATATCAGTGTAGTTCATTACCATGAGGTAATGAACTTCAGATAATTCATTACTATGAGGTGACATGTGGAACTTCCAGTGACCAGTCTGAGAGAGTGACTCTTGTGACCTCTTGTGACACTAACGGGTCTCATGATACCAGGGAGGGAAAATGGCTACTTGGGTCCAATTTGGACATTGTCACTTAGGGGTGTAGTCACTTTTGTTGCCAGCGGTTTATACATTAATGGCTGTGTGTTGCGTTATTTTGAGGGGACAGCACATTTACACTGTTATACAAGCTGTATACTCACTGCTTTACATTGTAGCCAAGTGTCATTTCTTCAGTGTTGTCACATGAAAAGATATACTAAAACATTTATGAAATGTGAGGGGGTGTACTCACTTCTGTGATATATACTGTACATAATACATAAATCTTTTCCTTAAAAAGGACCCAAGGTGTGTTACATCATTAGAGGACAATATTTAAAGCTGAAAACAGTAAGTGTACAAATACTAAAAAGGATCAAACAAATACCACAATAAAAATTGGTAAACAAAAGCAGCACCGAAAAACACATTTGGCAAAGCCATCGATTTAGAAACTCTACTCAGGCATCCACACAAGGAAAGCTTGCCTGAAGAGAAGGGTTTGCCTGCTTATGGAAGGACAGCAAAAAGTGTGGCCAGCCTGGCCTCCTGTGGGTAGGGGTTTGAAAGTCAGGGAGCAGCACCAGCGAAGGCCCTCTGCTATGTACCCACCTGTGAAGCTGGTTACCTTAAGTGCTCCTAATGACCTTAACAGCCGGTCAAGCTCATAAAAGGAGAGGTGGCCCTAGCTTGAAACCAAGCAATTTAGGGCTTTATAAGTTAGAATTAGCACCTTGAATTGTGCCTGGAAACAGATTTTTTTAAAAAAATTCATCTCCTAGGTGAAGTTAAATAAGGAATTGTTTACCCATGGGCCACATGATTTTCACCCATCAGCTAGTGGCAAAAGGTCACTGTGAAGTGAAAGTTGACTCTTTACAGTCAGAGGGCTTCATAATCTTGGTGCTGTCACAGCAAAGACCCTTTCCCTTATTCCTACCAGGCCCACATCATCTACAGTGGGATGCACAGAATGGTATTTCCAAGTCAATGCCTTGGTTGTGCTGAACCTTATAACAGGAGGATATCTTTAAACTGTGCTGGCCTTAAAATGAGAGATGAGATGCGAATTCCAAAAGCTGTCTCGTTTAGACCATAGATGCAATTCTGCTTGGTTGGGCAGCAGATCGTAGTGACTTCTAAGGCAATGGTTCCAAGCCTGTGCTCTCCAGAATTCCTGGCCAGCACAGCTAGTGATGAAGGCTTCCGGGAATTTTAGTCCAACAATACTTGGGAGCCCAAGATTGGGAACCACTACTCTAAAGTAAAGCAGCAAAGATAAAGCAGAGTCATACTGTCTGATTTAAAATCTTGTTGGATCAACATGTTTAATTGCACCATATCCCATTCCCTGTCATGTGCCAGATCTGTTACCTTTAAGTGCTGGTTTTATGGCCTGAGACGACTCTCTCATCATCACAATGTGTGTCTTGAGAGTTTTGCTGTGATGTTGATGCTGCCAGCCTCTGCCAACTTGTCCTCTCTCACCTTTTTGTGATTTTATAGTGTTTTGCAACACAGGTGATCTCATTAGGCCACATGACATGGTATACCAAAAACTGGGTATCCCAACATCTTATTTTTACTGTGGTGCTGCCATGGGAAGCTGTGAGTTTGTTTAGAGCAATGGACCTGTGGAGGGGTGTTTAATCTTCCTCTCTCCTGGGAATCCATCTGTAGTTCAACACTCAGCTCAGATAATGTCACCCTTCTTGCAGGAAAGATATAAGTGTCTATATACTTCTGGACACAGGCTGGCAATAACTTTGGCAGTAATGAATTAAGTTGAGAAAATGATTTAGGTAGGACAACACATCCTTTCTCTAGCTCTGATTAAATATGGAGCTATAAAGTAAGAGTAACTTCTGTGATCATGTAATCATCTACTAGATAATGATCTGATCCAGAGCTTGGTAAAATTATCTTCTTAGATACCATGTCTCAGAACTCCTTAGCCAGCATGCTCGTGCTAGCTGGGGGTGGCTAGGTCCAAAAAGTGAAGTTTTGAAGTCATGTTCTCATTAACAAAGCCTGTAAAACATGTAGTTTGTAACTGAGACCAGAAGGTGGAGGAATCGCATTAAAAATATCCATGCAGATACCAGTTGGGTTTTTCAGATGGCCATTAGGTCTGGCACCAAGAGTGAACACCATTGAACATCTGCTGAGGTCCAGATCCCAGTGGAGAGGTCATTGCTAATCCCTGTAGCTGCCCTATTATGTTGCTTTGCATTCTTGATATTATTGCCTGTTAACTTGACCTCTTGGAGAAGGAGTGGAAGAAGAAGCCCTTCCTTTTCCTTTTTGGATGGTGGGTGAACAGGCAGCAACAAGGCATGAAAGAAGAGCTTGGCCATTTTGAAGCATCTTGTCCCCCCACCCCACCCCATATCTGGTGTCAATACGGATGGCATGATAAATAGCTTGAAGGTACTCCTGATTCTATAAGCTATGATGCTTGATGATTCCAGAAGAGGTAGCTATGTTAGCATATTTGCTAGCATATGAGGCAAAAGCAAAATTAAAAAAAATTAAAGAAGGCAAAAATGTTGTGGCACCTTAACTAGCATATCAGGCAAAAGCAAAATAATTTTTTTTAAAGAAGACAAAAATGTTGTGGCACCTTAAAGACATATTTTAATGTGAGCTTTTGTGGATAAGTCCACTTCCTCAGATATAAGAGTGAGGTAAAGGGTCCCCTTGACATTTAGTCCAGTCGTGTCCGACTCTAGGGAGTGGAGCTTATCCCCGTTTCCAAGCCGAAGAGCCAGTGTTTGTCCGTAGACAGTTTCTGTGGTCACGTGGCCAGCTCGACTAGACATGGAACGCTGTTACCTCCCCACCATGGTGGTACCTATTTATCTACTCGCATTTTTGCATTTTGCATGCTTTCAAACCGCTAGGTTGGCAGGAGCTGGGACAAGCGCCGGGAGCTCACTCTGTTGTGTGGATTCAATCTTACGACTGCTGGTCTTCCAACCTTGCAGCATAGAGGCTTCTGTGGTTTAACCCACAGTGCCACCACTGTGAGACTACATAGCAAATAAGGCATAAATGTATAAATATTTGTCATGTAGTCCCACTCTTATGTCTGAGGAGGTGGACATGTCCATGAAGGCTCACATTAAAATATAGGGCTTTAAGGTGCCAGAACATTTTTGTCTTCTTTATATTTGTTTGTTTTTGGTGGTTCCAGAGTCAGCAAAGTGGTACACCCACTCCTTGTTTTAGGCTAAACTTTACAGGTCCTGTTTTGGTTTCTGAATCTGCTTTGGAGTTGGGGTTTGGCACAATTGGTGACTAGAGATGGAGGTATTGTATACGAATATCTACGCACAGCTGGAGTTAATGAGGATCCAACCCCTGGGGCGAGACCATCCACTCACGCGTCTGGTGGCAACGGTGGCCCCTCTCTTCTTCCAATCACTCCAGAGCCCCGCTTGGCTAGCTGCTCAGCAGCCTAGCATGGAGACTCGTCCTCCCTCCCTCTGCCAGGAGTGGCTAGCTGACTGGGAAGAGAACGGCGCACTGGGAGCGATTGGAAGGATGAGTGGGGCTGGCGACAGCAGTGGATGTGTGTGTGGACACGTCCCTGGTTAACTCCACCTGCATGGGGATATTTGTATTCGTATACAAATATGAATACCCCCAACTCTATTGGTAACCCTTCTAAAATTTGAATTAAAGTCCAAAGGAAATTCACCATCTCTGCTTACATTGGAATGATCACTCTCCTACTGAGATAATTTAAATCAAAGAAGCAGAACAAATGCATTATGAGTATATCTTCCACCATGTCACACCTGTACCTTGGCCAAAGGACTGTCATGGAAAATGTATGCCTTTTCCATTCACAGCTAATTTTAATGACAGTTACTAGTGGGGGGTGTTGGATCAATATATGAGATATATTGATTAAACCATCCAATCTCCTTTGACTTCTAGATCCAGATTGAGCATGTGTGAGCAAACTAGCTAATATTTTCTCATTTATACTAGGGTGGTCCCGGAAATCACATTCTTCCAATTAAAGTGTTGAAGTTATGATTCAAGCTATGCATAAACTAGCTTAAATAGGTCTGTTCACTTTGCATAAATGATCATTCAGCCTGCTATTCAGAGCCTCATTGAAAGGTTCTGCCGAACAAAGGGAGAATAACTTCACAAAGCTTCTAGTGCAATGCTTCCCAATGTTGGGTTCCCAGATGTTCTTGGACTCAAAATCACAGACGCCTTCATAACTAGCTGTGCTGGCCAGGATTTCTGGGAGTTGCACTACAAAAACATCTGGGGACCCAAAGCTGAGAAGTCCTGTTCTAGCAGAATCACTGGGGCTCATTCTGTGTTAAAAGAGAGAGAGAGAGAAGAAGAAGAAGAAGAAATAGAAAGAAAGAAAGAAAGAAAGAAAGAAAGAAAGAAAGAGAAAGAGAAAGAAAGAAAGAAAGAAAGAAATCATTACCTGTCCCTCCATCAGTAAAGTGCAATGGAGAGGCAATAACTTCAGGATATATTTGGAAGCATTTGGATGACTAGGTATCAATGACACTGACTTCATGTTTCATTGTAGGCATTTAGCTAACAACTGCCGGACAGATGTCCCTCCACAAAAATACCATTCCTTCCCTTCTCCAGTTTAGCTAACAAGGATCAGAGCAGCAGGCCATGTAGTAGAATAGTGACCAATAGTACTGTAATTCCAAATCCCAAACAAACTGTTATCTCCTGAAATAATCTTCAGAGAAAGTAAAATTTCCCTCCTTCTCTGAACTTGGAAAGGTTACTTTTTGAGTTATATCTTTCAGAAGCTCCAGACTGGGGGAAAGCTTCTGGAAATTGAAGTTTAAAACAGTCACCTTTCTACCTCCACTTTAAATTTTGGTTTGCTTACCAGTTTGATTGCTGTTCTCAGAAGATAAAGTGTTTAGGGATGGATTCCTCACATACTGGGCAGCGAAAATGGCTGCTGTATGGAGGATTTTCGCTTAAAGGTAAGTTTTAAGCCCATAGGAATGCATTGAAGGGGTTTCAATGCATTCCTATGGGCTTTTTAAAATTGCTTAGTGATGTTTTCGGTTAGCAGCGATTTTTGCTGCACCAATTAACATCGCTAAGCGAGGCACCACTGTAATTCCAAATCCCAAACAAACTGTTATCTCCTGAAATAATCTTCAGAGAAAGTAAAATTTCCCTCCTTCTCTGAACTTGGAAAGGTTACTTTTTGAGTTATATCTTTCAGAAGCTCCAGACTGGGGGAAAGCTTCTGGAAATTGAAGTTTAAAACAGTCACCTTTCTACCTCCACTTTAAATTTTGGTTTGGCTTACCAATTTGATTGCTGTTCTCAGAAGATAAATCAGTGTAATACTACTTCTAAATAGCTTTTACACTTGTTCTTTGTCACTACCTTTCTTTTAAGTTCCAGAGTCCTTCTCACCTATTAGAATAGGCTTCGAGCTTCAAAAACCCAATTAGTAGAAGAAAAATCAAAATGTTAAGCTTTACTGTGAAGCTTTCTTTTACTCTGAGTATGGGTCTCATCATGACTCACTTCCAGGCCAATCTAAAATTCATTTTGATTTTAATCTGCTAAAATACATAGAATTCACTTGACTTTCTTTTTCTTTCTTTCCTCCTTCTTTTGCTTTTATCATTTCCAACTCTCTTCCTGGTTGTTCAACTCTCTTTATCATTTGGTTCCTTGCTTATGATTTTTTCTGACACTGCTCTTCATCAGTGCAGTCGCTGCATGTTTTAACATGGGATACCTGTTATTTTCATTATTTAGTCCCAACCCCTATGTCTCCCTCTCCGAAATCAGTGAGCACTCCCAGTGAAGCCGGAAGCCAAGATTCAGGAGACTTGGGACCTGTTGGAAGGTAAGTTGATGTGTTTTCTCTGTTATTATTTATGCCTTATCTGCCATGTCATGGTTTAAAGGTAATGAACAGAAATGCTGTTGGAGAATGATTTGTGGTCTTGTCAGTGTGCTCAGGTACAAATCTGACCACCACCACCCCCCCCCAGCATAGCCAATTGGCTGCATCAGAAACATATACAAGCTAGTACAGTACTTTGGTGACATTTTCTTTTAACTAGTCCAACTAAATTAATTCCTGCATGTTTATTCATTTAAACATTCATTGTTTATTATCATTTATTTAATTTATATTCCACATTTATATTACTCTTATAGCACCCAAGGCAGCTTAGAATATGAAGTTTAAAAAAATAGATAACAGCTTTATATAGGTTAATATATTACAGTATTAAAACACTAGTAAATAAATGATCACATTAAAGGAAAAAAGCAAATTAACCTTTTAAAAAATACTTTATTGTTATGTGCTGTCAAGTTGGAACCAACATATAGCAACTAGAGATTGGGGGTATCGATTTCACCGCTGCCACTGGCTCCACAGCAGCTTCCTATCGCGCTGTTCTCCGCAGTGGATTAGCCACTGTCCGACCTAGCATAGAGGCTTGTCATCCCGCCTCCTGCCAGGACTGGGTAATCGACTGTGGACAACGGTGTGATACGAAGGCACCGAAGAGCCGGTGGCAGCAGCAAAATAGGGGACAGTCTAGCCCCAGGGGGCCAGACCCCCATTATTTCCACCTATGCGGGGATTTTCATATATGAATACCCCCATCTCTAATAGCAACCCTAATAGGGCTTTCAAGCAAGAGATTTAAGGAGTGGTTTTACCAATTACACACCCACCCACCCAGTAAGTTTCCACGGCTGAATGGGGAATTGAACCCAGGCCTCCTGACTTCTAGTCCATCACTCTATACACTACATCACACTGGGTATCTTAAAATACATACATAAACACAAAGCAAACACAACATTCACCTTTCTTATCAGTGATGAGACAGCTGTCTAAATAAACATGTGTCTACCTGCCAGCAGAAAGGCAAGAGGAAGGAGATCAACCCGGCCTCCTTCAGAAGGCAGTTCCATAACTTGGGAAGAGCTACTAAGAAGGCCTCTTTCATGTCCTCATGAAATGGGCCTGTGAAGACTGGGACAGAAAGAGATGTCTCTCCCAAAGATCTTATTTATTTACGATTTATTTATTTTATTCATACCCTGCCATTCTCTGGAAACTGACTCAAGGTACCTTGATTAAAAACAGATACAGATAAATACAAAAGTTGTTATAATATAAAGAAAACAATGAAATGAATTGTAATATTAAAGTACCATTGAATGAAAAGCCGTTGAAAAACACACGGATAAAAAACCCTATAGTAGTGCTGTCAAAAGCCCCTCTCTAGCTATATCATTTGCAAACTTACCGAATAAAATTCAGATTCATCATATTTAAAACAAAGCACTCCCTGGTTTCTGAGTAGACAGAATATAGATTGCAGTCAAAGTTTCCATTTTCCTTGCTGGAAGTCACAGTCTAGATGTTTTCCTTAAAAATCAACACACCCATGATTTTATTAAGCTCCCTAGGGCAGCATTACCACTGGAGCTGGTGGCAGAATATTTTTGATAACAACTATAGCTCTTCCACTTTTATGTAGAATTGGAGGAAACATTGAGTAATGGTATGGAGATTCTAGTGAAAATGTAACATTTCTACAAAAATAATAATAAATCAGCAAGAATGGTTGTGTAAGAAAAAATACCCTGATAGTCAGATACATATAAAAGCAGCTTTTGCTTATCTATTATCTTTCTTGGATTGTATGATCAGAATTACCATCCTGGGGGATAAACAAAGGAATACTCTTGCATTAATGCTGAAGCATAACTGACAGAGACAAATGTAGTTTGCAGTTCTCAGCCTGTAACTGGAGAAGAGTTTTGTCATAGTAGAAGATCTTTTAGATAGAAAAATAGGCATGTTCTTGTATTTGCTAGATTTTCAAATATGAGATAGACAACACATAGATCAAAGGCAGGCACTCCTTAGCCTAATTTCAGAAGAGATAAAGAACAGCAACATATCCCACGCCTAAATATCTGTTGAGAGAAAGGTTGGGCAGAGAAGAAAAATATTTGCAAGTGTGGGCTAGTGGCTAATATTTTCCTTAGCTATGTGCCTAAGAGAGTCGTGGCTAATCAGCTTGGATAACTGTGAATCAGAATCCAGTTGCTAGTCTCAACAAGAGTAGATCAATTAAATCAGTTGTTGAGTGTCCAATCTACTTATTGATTCGGTGGGTCTACCAGTTATATTGAAACCTTGGAATAGCTGATATTTTGAATCAGCTAGCTGTCTTGGACCTCTTGATAGGCTTCTGTACCATCAACTACAGTACCCATCTAGAGTAACATTCGGAGTTGGTCTTTGAAGGTAGTACCTGGTAGTGGCTCTGGGTGCCCAAATTAGTTCTGGGAGACCCCAGGACGCATATTCCTTGACTCTATGCTTTAGGGTAAAAGTAGGAAAAACCACTGGGCTAGTCAGGTATGATCTAAACCAAATCCCTTATGAAAACACAGTGGAAGTGAAGAACAGATTTAAGGAACTAGATTTGGTGGACAGAGTGTCTGAAGAACTAGGGGTGGAGGCTCGTAACATTGTACAGGAAGCAGCAACAAAAACATTGCAAAGAAAAGGAAATGCAAGGAAGCAAAGTGGCTGTCCAACAAGGCCTTACAAATAGCAGAGAAGAGAAGGAAAACAAAATGCAAAGGAGATAGGGAAAGTTAAAGAAAATTGAATGCAGACTTCCGAAGAATAACAAGGAGAGAGAAGAGGGCCTTCTTAAATGAACAGTGCAAAGACATAGAGGAAAAGAACAGAAAGGGAAAAACCAGAGATCTGTTCAAGAAAATTGGAGATACAGTATTAAAGGAACCTTTTGTGCAAAGATGGGCATGATAAAGGACAAAAATGGTAGGGACCTCACAGAAGCAGAAGACATCAAGAAGAAGTGGCAAGAATACATAGAGGAATTATACCAGAAAGATCTGGATGGCCTGGACAACCCAGATAGTGTGGTTGCTGACCTTCAGCCAGACATCCTGGAGAGTGAAGTCAAGTGGGCCTTAGAAAGATGGCTAACAACAAGGCCAGTGGAGGTGATGGCATTCCAATTGAAGTATTTAAAATCTTAAAAGATGACGCTGTTAAGGTTCTACAGTCAAAGACCGTGATGGGAAAGTGTGAGGGCAAGAGGAGAAGGGAATGACAGAGGACAAGATGGCTGGACAGTGTCATCAAAGCTACCAACATCGATTTGACCCAACTCCGGGAGGCGGTGGAAGACAAGAGGGCCTGGAGTGCTCTGGTCCATGGGGTCACAAAGAGTCGGAGACGACTTAACAACTAAACAACAACAACAACAACAACAATGCTTTAGGGACCTCCAGGATTCTCTTATCTCATACTTTGTAACTTCTCCATGTCCTTTCTTGTTCTTCTAAGTGAGATCCAGATATACTGTATGTCTCAAGCTATCACCAATACATAGATAAAACCCAGATTTATTTAGTTCAAGTGAACTGGCTGTCTTGAATTAACATGGGTGAGGTAGTGGATTGGTTGAGGACGAATAAACTGAGTGGGTGAGATTTTGGCCTGGTTGAGGGCTAATAAATTGAGTTGGTCCTGGAAGAGTCTGCCCTGACTAAAAGAACCAAATCTCTTGTTCACTAATTGATCTAGCACCAGAGGTTCAAGTGATCTCTGTGGTGATAAGCACTAATCTGTTGGAACAGAGTGCCACTGCATGTAGCAGCTGAGTTAGCAACTTAACCCTATTTCTATCAGTGTATGGGGGAATAGTAGCCAGGTAGGTAGCCCAAATGTGTTATTTTCTTTTGTGTTTTCTTGATCATCATACTCCTAGGCTCCTTTATTTTCTTTTCTCTGATATAATTTCCTACTTATGCTGTTTCTCCGTAGTCAGAAAGGTGAACCTGCAGACATGGAAACTAGCTCTAGAGGCTTCTGTAACCAAGGTTAGAGATATCACCACTTCCACACCATTATCCTGAATGGGTTTTGCTAAATAGCAACTATTTTTCCTTTAGCCCTAATATCAGCCTTCAGAGTGATCACTGCTGCTATTGTGTGCCCTCAAATCACTTACAATTTATAGCTACGTTATGAGTTAGTGTCTTCTACAATATTCTGTCTTTAACAGCCCTGCTGAGGTCATATAAATTCAAGGCCATAGCTGCTGTTCTATTCAACTCTGCAATTATGAATCTGATCTTTCTTTGATTTATACATACAATACTCATTGCAATTGATTATTGCAATACAATGGTTATTATGATGATTGCAACAGGAATGATTATTACTCCTAATAAATAGTCACATATTTTTTGCTATGCTATCACACTCTGCAAGGTTAAAAAGTAAATAATCCTAACATTTTCAGTTTGTGCTGATATGCCAACTGTGACCTGTCTTACTTGGATGGAGACCGTCGTTCCCAACCAATCTTCTGTTTCCATTTCTACCATATCTTGTTGAAAACCTTCAATAACGGCACAGTCTCTTTTCAGGCCCAGTTTAGAATGCTGGTTTAAATAACCCTCCAATCACACACTCCTCTGCAGTACTTCCAGCTTTAAAGTATTTTAAAGTATTGCTTATGAGAACTTTTAGAAAACTAAAATTTTCATTCTTGTATTAATTATCAATATTCTTTACTATACAGGAAAAGCATTCTTGGTAATCACTTAAGCAATTAATGTGTATAAAGAGGAGAGTTTATTTATCAACGATTGTACAGTTGTCCATTAATTTTTTGTATTTTGATATGGGAATGTTTATATCCCTGTTGCCATAATTCATTTATAAATATAATCTTAGAACTGCAAAGCTGGAAGGTATCCTGTGGACCAATGGTCCCCAACCTTGGGACCCCAGATGTTCTTGGACAACAACTCCCAGAAGCCTTC